CGGGAGGTGGCGGTGGCGGGGGGCCGACAGTAGCGGGAGGGCCGACAGTAGCGGGAGGGAGGCCTATGGAGGCGGGTAGGCGGCGAGCGGCAGCGTGGCCGCTGGCAATGGATGCAAGAAGGAGGCTAACGATGGTGACGGGTGAGAGCTGGGGACGGCAGCATGCCAGTAGCATTTTACATGAAGGATGTAATTCAAATTCGGCTAAATTCTAATTTAGACAAGAATGAACTAAGGTGCAAACTACATTGTCTAAACCACAAATTCACTCAACCAAACATCCCCTAAATGCAATACTTTTTCATTGACTTGAGAGGCATTTTTTTTTTCTATTATAGAAGACAATAATCAATATAGTCATAGATACAAAGTTTTACACAAGACAAAAAAATTGTTTCTTCCACTCAAGAAAAAAAGAAATAATAAAGGAAAAAAAGAAAAAAAAAAAGAAAAACAGAGAAAAAAATTGAGGAAGCGCAACCCAGAAGACCTTCTCAAGCTTCAAAATCTCACCTTGACAACAATAGTTCTCGGGGAAAAGATATCAGGAGCATCCACACCATTCAAATAAGCCCTCACCTCCGGAATCCCCGATCCAGCAGACGCCGGCGCAATGCATGATGTAATTGCCACAGCAAACATCAATAAAACGAAATTGGAGCTCGCAAAAACTCCAAAAGCCATCAAATACCTACAATAATTCCCCAATCCTCATCCCATATCCACGAAGATGACGGCCTCTAACTAAAACAGACAAAAATAAAATTCAAATCTGGTACTTATTGGCAAACATTAGGTCAAATGTGTGAAGAAACTTGAGACCAGCAAGATTCTCAATGGCCATGTTATTGAAGAATCCGATAGCTCCGGCGAGCACGCCGACGAGGAGACAGAGAGTCCACTTAAGGATGACGTAGCGGATGATGGCGAAGGAGCAGAGGAAGGCGGGTAGTTCGGTTCGCAAAGGGGCAGATCTCGCAGTGAGCTCGACCTCTAGCTCTCCAATCCTGCTTGAAGAAATCGTTCTCCAAAACCCTAAACAGAAAACCAGAACTTCAGGTGAATTAACCAGATCCAGAAGAGAAGGTGAGCTCGACCTCTAGCTCTCCAATCCTGCTTGAAAAAATCGTTCTCCATAACCCTAAACAGAAAACCAGAACTTCAGGGGAATTAACCAGATCCAGAAGAGAATAAGAAGTGGTATTTTGTACTCGTAGTCGAGGCTTTCTATGGGGCAGAGATTGGAGCCGATGATGGCGACTTGGGATGTAGAGTTGGAGGAGTATCGCCGGAGATTTACAGGACGGAGGGCAAGTAGAGGATCCCGGATATTCTCGTCGTCCTCCGCAGCCGGCGCCGGCGATGTACCCGTATTCGATGTCGCCATAATTGAGCTGGAGGAGCACGACTGGAATCTTAGGGTATGAATGTAAATTCCCACTTTACTTGATAAACACCTCAACTTATAATGAAGGTTAGTGATTTTGTTTTAACCAACCATCTCAGATAATTGGACTATGACTTCTACCAATAACAAACTAATATATATGAGTAGCCTCATAGGTGTCCATGTACATGTATAACTTCAATCAAGTATTTTAATTTTTTTTTTCAAGGAATAAAAAATGTAGAATATTTAGTATCACTAAAATCATTTAAATAAATGCTCGAAAGGTAATTTATTTATATGATGCCATTGAGAGGTGATTGAAGCTAATACTATTATGTACTAAAATTCTTATTCTTCATGTGTTTCCTTCTTCTTTGATTTTGTCTTTGTTTTCTATTTATTTGGTAAAACCTTGACAGTTGCTTGCAGGGTTCTGATATTGAAAATGGATAAATTTTGATCAAACATCATGAATAGTGCAGTGAAGGTGGACTAATGTGAAGAATCAATAGATATGCGGTACAAAAAAGTTGAATAACAGAGTAGAGGAGAATCTATTAATGTGAAAAATCATGATTTTGTGGCATACGAGTAACATGTAGAGATGAAGTAGGTAATCAAAAGAATGATCCATAGAATTTTATTGTATCAAGCATGAAGGTGCCATATGAGCTTCGAATTCAATAATTTGAAGGTAGACATCAAGTGTCAAAGTGCTCTCTTATACGCCAACATTAAATGAAATTTTTTGCTTAAGATGTAGTGAAGAGAGATTGCAACCCCCTATATAGTATTCTACAAACGAAGTATAGATCCCGCTCATTATGTAAACAACTTTGAATTAGTTTCTTCCCTATGAGATATCAATAATGAGTTATGGTGTTGATTATTCCTCACTATCTTTAAAGAATCTCCCCTTTTATCATTCTTACACCTCTAGATGAGGATGAATATACATTTTTTTAAGTTCAAGAAAATATTCATTGCTCAATTTTTCTATATTCTAAAATCCATTAAAGAGCTTATAAGCTTTGTTAAAATTATAGTAGGAGTTCAAAAAGTATTGGAGAAACATTATCGTGAAAGTTTAAAGGGCAATATTATAATTTTAAAACCTTAAGCCCGTCGTACTTTTGTCACCCTCATCCAAGGTCTCTAAAGGAACCTTTTAGAGATGTTCTAAGCCTATGACAATTAAGCATTTAGGATGAGTTAAATTTTTTGTAAGGCCGGGCTACTTAAACAAGCTAATATTCATATATACTACAAGGAATAAAATTATATAATAAAAAATTCATCATTAAGTCTTTTAAGATATTTTATAATGGGGCTTGATTTTTAAAATATTCATAGTAAATATATAAATGGACCAACATTTAGCGAGAAGACTTCACTTCCAACAAAATTGCCCATTTCTTTATCAAAGCATGTGACAACCCGAATGAGTAAAAATCCACTCCATTTGATGTTACGAGTATAGAATTTCTGCCTTTTGCTTGTCAAAGGAAGGCCTACTTCTACCTATCACTATCTAACTATCTCTCCATTAAGGCTTTTCAAGACCAAATGTGTTGAAACCATATACAAATGGAACATTTCAAGCAACTGACACTAATGTGATCTAGGCCCCAATAGACTACCCATCATAGTATTATACACCTCAAAATAATATGTACAAGAGAGGGAAGGTTATTGGAACCAAAAAAACTTGCTGGGAGAATTAATTAAGACCAAATAATTGAAGCAATTCATCATGGTTGACTCTAGGAGAAAACAATGGAGATAACCTATTAAGATACATAACGATAAACAGGTCTTAATCCAAATAATCCATATAAATGATGTGGTGATAACTAACCATAGAAGAGAAAGGAAATGAGCATCTCATTAAACCAACATAAAATAACATCAATTGGGAGAGGTAAACTTATAGTGAATATTTAGACAATCTTATGTTGAACTCATCCCATCTTCCTTAATTGAAGCAAATAAGCAAGTGAATGGGAACCCCTT